TAGTAGTAGTAGTAGTAGTAGTAGTAGTAGTAGTAGTAGTAGTAGTAGTAGTAGTAGTAGTAGTAGTAGTAGTAGTAGTAGTAGTAGTAGCAGTAGTAGTAGTAGTAGTAGTAGTAGTTGTAGTAGTAGTAGTAGTAGTAGTAGTAGTAGTAGTAGTAGTAGTACTAGTAGTAGTAGTAGTAGTAGTAGTAGCAGTAGTAGTAGTAGTAGTAGTAGTAGTAGTAGTAGTAGTAGTAGTAGTAGTAGTAGTAGTAGTAGTAGTAGTAGTAGTAGTAGTAGTAGTAGTAGTAGTAGTAGTAGTAGTAGTAGTAGTAGTAGTAGTAGTAGTAGTAGTAGTAGCAGTAGTAGTAGTAGTAGTAGTAGTAGTAGTAGTAGGGATAGCCCTGAATCGCCGAAAGATCGTTCCAAAACGCCCAAGATGGCTTCCAGACGGCCGTAGCGGCAAGAAACCGCGGGGAGCCTCAGGAGGCCCTCCAAGAGCCTGAACAAGCAAAAACCTCCCAGGCATTCGTCACCCCAGGGCCTCCTGGAATGCCCCGGCGCCCAATGAATTGGCGAGCTAAAAACGTGCGCCGAGCCAAAGTGGGAACGCAACTTTGAGAAAATTTCGCTCGGCGCCCAAGCGAAAAGGTCATTTCATTCACTTCGAGCAGGGGGGGAGGGGTGCGTGCCGCGCCCAACTCTTGCCATGCACTTTTGCGGTGTGGACGACAAGAAAGCTATGTGGGCAGGGAAAATCAGCATGGCATTGCTTCTGACAAGTAAGGTGGCCCCTCCCGCCTTGGGGTTGCCCCAGAAATCCGCGCGCGATGCGCGCCGCGCCCCATTCCTGCCACGCATTTCGCATCGTCGACGACAAGACAGGCCATGATGAAAGGAAAAACGGCAACTTTGTATTGGTTTTTTAAAGTCAGGATGGGAGGGCCCGCAGCCCGCATGGACGTCCGCGCGCGATGCGCGCCGCGTCCCACTCCTGCAACATATTTCGCACCGTCGGCGACAAGGCAGGCCATGCTGAGAGGAAAAAGCGGGGACTTAGTATTGGTTTTTTACAGTCAGGATGGGCGGGCCTGGATTGACGGCCGCGCACGATGTGCGCCGCGTCCCATATGTGCGCCGCGTCCCATTGCTGCCACAGTAGTAGTAGTAGTAGTAGTAGTAGTAGTAGTAGTAGTAGTAGTAGTAGTAGTAGTCGTAGTCGTAGTAGTCGTAGTCGTAGTCGTAGTCGTAGTAGTAGTAGTAGTAGTAGTAGTAGTAAGTAGTAGTAGTAGTAGTAGTAGTAGTAGTAGTCGTCGTAGTCGTAGTCGTAGTCCGTCGTAGTCGTAGTCGTTAGTAGTCGTAGTAGTAGTAGTAGTAGTAGTAGTAGTAGTAGTAGTAGTAGTAGTAGAGTAGTAGTATAGTAGTAGTAGTAGTAGTAGTAGTAGTAGTAGTAGTAGTAGTAGTAGTAGTTGTAAAGAGTAGTAATAGTAGTAGTAGTCGTAGTAGTAGTAGTAGTAGTAGTAGTAGTAGTAGTAGTAGTAGTAGTAGTAGTAGTAGTAGTAGTAGTAGTAGTAGTAGTAATGTAGTAGTAGTAGTAGTAGTAGTAGTAGAAGAATAATTAGTAATCGTAGTAGTAGTAGTAGTAGTAGTAGTAGTAGTAGTAGCGGTAGTGGTAGTAGTAGTGTAGTAGTAGTAGTAGTAGTAGTAGTAGTAGTAGTAGTCGTAGCAACAGTAGTAGTAGTAGTAGTAGTAGTAGTCGTAGTAGTAGTAGTAGCAGTAGTATAGTAGTAGTAGTGGTACTACTACTACTACTACTACTACTAATATTACTAGCACTACTATTACTACTACTATTACTACTACTACTACTACTGCTGCTACTACTACTACTACTACTACTACTACTACTACCACTACTACTACTACTACTACTACTACTACTACTACTACTACGACTACTACGACTACTACTACTACTACTCTTACTACTACTACTACTACTACTACTACTACTACTACTACTACTACTACTGTGGCAGCAGTGGGACGCGGCGCACATGTGGGACGCGGCGCACATCGCGCGCGGCCGTCAACCCAGGCCCGCCCATCCTGAGTGTAAAAAATGAATACTAAGTCCCCGCTTTTTCCTCTCAGCATGGCCTGCCTTGTCGCCGACGGTGCGAAATACGTTGCAGGAGTGGGACGCGGCTCGCATCGCGCGCGGACGTCCATGCGGGCTGCGGGCCCTCCCATCCTGACTGTAAAAAACAATACAAAGTTGCCGTTTATCCTTTCATCATGGCCTGTCTTGTCGTCGACGATGCGAAATGCGTGGCAGCAATGGGGCGCGGCGCACATCGCGCGCGGATTTCTGGGGCAACCCCAAGGCGGGAGGGGCCACCTTACTTGTCAGAAGCAATGCCATGCTGATTTTCCCTGCCCACATAGCTTTCTTGTCGTCCACACCGCAAAAGTGCATGGCAAGAGTTGGGCGCGGCACGCACCCCTCCCCCCCTGCTCGAAGTGAATGAAATGACCTTCTCGCTTGGGCGCCGAGCGAAATTTTCTCAAAGTTGCGCTCCCACTTTGGCTCGGCGCACGTTTTTAGCTCGCCAATTCATTGGGCGCCGGGGCGTTCCAGGAGGCCCTGGGGTGACGAATGCCTGGGAGGTTTTTGCTTGTTCAGGCTCTTGGAGGGCCTCCTGAGGCTCCCCGCGGTTTCTTGCCGCTACGGCCGTCTGGAGGCCATCTTGGGCGTTTTGGAACGATCTTTCGGCGACTCAGGGCTATCCCTACTACTACTACTACTACTACTACTACTACTACTGCTACTACTACTACTACTACTACTACTACGACTACTACTACTAATACTACTACTACTACCACCGCTACTACTACTACTACTACTACTACTACTACTACTACTACTACTACTACTACTACTACTACTACTACTACTACTACTACTACTACTACTACCGTAGTAGTAGTAGTAGTAGTAGTAGTAGTAGTAGTAGTAGTAGTAGTAGTAGTAGTAGTACTAGTAGTAGTAGTACGTAGTAGTAGTAGTAGTAGTAGTAGTAGTAGTAGTAGTAGTAGTAGTAGTAGTAGTAGTAGTAGTAGTAGTAGTAGTAGTAGTAGTAGTAGTAGTAGTAGTAGTAGTAGTAGTCGTAGTAGTAGTAGTAGTGTAGTAGTAGTAGTAGTAGTAGTAGTAGTAGTAGTAGTAGTAGTAGTAGTAGTAGTAGTAGTAGTAGTAGTAGTAGTAAGTAAAGTAGTAGTAGTAGTAGTAGTAGTAGTAGTAGGTAGTAGTAGTAGTAGTAGTAGTAGTAGTAGTAGTAGTAAGTAGTAGTAGTAGTAGTAGTAGTAGTAGTAGTAGTAGTAGGTAGTAGTAGTAGTAGTAGTAGTAGTAGTAGTAGAAGAAGTCGTAGTAGTAGTAGTAGTAGTAGTACTAGTAGTAGTAGTAGTAGTAGTAGTAGTAGTAGTAGTAGTAGTAGTAGTAGTAGTAGTAGTAGTAGTCGTAGTAGTAGTAGTCGTCGTAGCAGCAGTAGTAGTAGTAGTAGTAGTAGTAGTAGTTGTTGTAGTAGTAGTAGTAGTAGTAGTAGTAGTAGTAGTAGTAGTAGTAGTAGTAGGGATAGCCCTGAGTCGCCGAAAGATCGTTCCAAAACGCCCAAGATGGCCTCCAGACGGCCGTAGCGGCAAGAAACCGCGGGGAGCCTCAGGAAGCCCTCCAAGAGCCTGAACAAGCAAAAACCTCCCAGGCATTCGTCACCCCAGGGTATCCTGGAACGCCCCGGCGCCCAATGAATTGGCGAGCTAAAAACGTCCGCCGAGCCAAAGTGGGAGCGCAACTTTGAGAAAATTTCGCTCGGCGCCCAAGCGAGAAGGTCATTTCATTCACTTCGAGCAGGGGGGGAGGGGTGTGTGCCGCGCCCAACTCTTGCCATGCACTTTTGCGGTGTGGACGACCAGAAAGCTATGTGGGCAGGGAAAATCAGCATGGCATTGCTTCTGACTAGTAAGGTGGCCCCCCCCGCCTTGTGGTTGCCCCAGAAATCCGCGCGCGATGTGCGCCGCGCCCCATTCCTGCCACGCATTTCGCATCGTCGACGACAAGACAGGCCATGATGAAAGGAAAAACGGCAACTTTGCATTGTTTTTTACAGTCAGGATGGGAGGGCCCGCGGCCCGCATGGACGTCCGCGCGCGATGCGCGCCGCGTCCCACTCCTGCAACATATTTCGCACCGTCGGCGACAAGGCAGGCCATGCTGAGAGGAAAAAGCGGAGACTTAGTATTGGTTTTTTACAGTCAGGATGGGCGGGCCTGGATTGACGGCCGCGCGCGATGTGCGCCGCGTCCCATATGTGCGCCGCGTCCCACTGCTGCCACATATTTCGCACCGTCGGCGACAAGGCAGGCCATGTTGAGAGGAACAAGCGAAGACTTTGTATTGATTTTTTACAGTCAGGATGGGCGGGCCCAGATTGACTGCCGCGCGCGATGCGCGCCGCGTCCCATTCCTGCAACGCTTTTCGCATCGTCGACGACAAAAAAAAACGATGTTGAAAAGAACAACGGCCACTTTGTACTGATTGCTTACAGTCCGGATGGGAGGTCCCGGATTGGGTTGCTATCGGCCGGAATACGAGGTAGGTGGGGGCATATAATAATAAGGAACAAAGATAGGAGATCGTGCCCCCTTCTTCCTCTCTTTCCTGTCCCAACAGCCCCCCCCCATCCTTTTCCATTTTTTCCTGGCGCGCATCAGAGGGTCACGCGAGGGGGTCGGCCTTGCGAGAAGGCGAAGGGCTTATTGGTAGGCAGAAGGAGCATTCTCAGACGGCCCTGGAGGCTTCCATGGGGGGTTTCTAGCGAGGCAGGGAGGGCTTTTGCGAGGCCCCCTGCCTTCCTAGAAACACCCCGTCTTCTTCGAACGCCGCCCCCGCATCGCGTTACCACCCTGTGCGCGCCAGCCTTTTCCCCTCGCCCCCCTCGCCCCCCGCCCGCTGTGCGAGCAGGCCTCCGCGCGGCGGACTGGAACGGCAAGTCCGACCCGTATTGTGTGGTCGAGCTGAATGGCCAGCCTTCTTCACAGGCCCGCTTGCGGGGTCGGTTCTGCTCCGCTGGTTTCCCGTCGTGTGTGTGTGTGTTTTCCATCTTGCACCCCTTGGCCTTATTAGGCCATCTCTCTCTTTGCTCTGTTCTGCAAGAGTTCTGCCCGACTCTGGAAGAATTCTTGCTTCCCTCGTCATTGCACATTTGGCACGAGACTGGCTCCGAGGGTTTAGGTTAGCGCTCAAAGCCTAATCAAGATTAGGCTGCACATCGGATGGGCCCTCGGAGTTGCAGCGTCTGGTAAAAACAATCACGCAGTGTTATTGTGAATTCTCAGTGGCTTACGCCAGGCCGACGTCCTTCCAAGAGTTGTACGTTCCTGGGTCTTGGGCTGCAGTACCAGTATTTCCATATACATTCACTTCATAGTGTGTCAGTGCTGGAGTGGAGCCACTGCCCAGGTTCAATGGTGTACCGCAGGCGCTACCAGATCCATATTTCGACGGTTTCTTCACCTAGGCCTCAAGGTGCGGTTCTGTTCCGTGTTTTCATGTCCGAGGCTGGGCCGTCGCTACAGTCTTGTGGGGATGTTGTGTTTCGGCGGTTCATCCGTACACGTCATTCCCTTCTGGAACCCTCGGCGATTTCTTTGGGCACCCGTGTGTTGGAGCAACTCAGTGTTCTTACGTCTTGGATGTCCCCACTACGTTCGACGGATCCGGATATTTCTCTTGAAGTTCTCGACCCTGAATGCCCCGTCCACAAGCTTCTGATTGGGACCCTGTTTCAATTGGTGGTCCGTACGCCTTCTGATCGTATGTTTCTGGCTCTTGAGGCCCTGGAGTTGGACCTGTCTCGTATACATTTTGGTTCCGATTGCTCCCTGGACTTCGTTACCCATCGGGTTCATTTGATGATTGTGGTGTCTTTTGGGTATGCTTCGTCTTCGTGAGCGTCTCACTGGTGGACGGAGGGTTCGTGAACAATTCCAAACTGCACTACTTTGTCTTCCAGGGGACTTGGTTTGGGCTCTTAAACGTAAGGGTCCAGCATCCTTGTTTCACTGTGCTGAGTTGCGCGCCTGGTTTTCTCTGCAAGCGCGTTGCATTCTTGACCCTCCTGATGTTCGAGGCCGTGCCTTTATCTATCAGTTGGGTCTTCAGGGGTGCTACATTGGGCAGGGCTTACTTCAAAGGCGTTCGTCTCTGACGTCAGGTTCGGTCAGTCGCTGGCGTGGGCATGCACGGTGCTATTGTCGTCTGCGTACACAGCGTGGTTCGGCTCCTGATAGCGCACGTTGTGCAGCTTGGCCGGGTTCTAATAGTGTGTCGTTCCTCCCCGTCGTGTTCATCACGCTCGCGTCGGTTCGGGAGGTGGCGGCTTTGGAGTCTTCGTATATTGTTATTTCACGCCCTGTGGCTAATAACTTATCACCACAACTCTCGTGGACAGGTAGTGGTAGAGTGGGTAAAGGTCCTCGTCGCCGCCGTGGCCGCCGCGCTCGACGACTCGACTTTGGTTTGGATGAAGATCGTTATGAGCGTTCTCGTCCTTGGCTGGAAGCCCGCCTACATTATTTACAAAAGTTTGCTTGGACAAGCGATCAACAGGAGCTCGGCATATGGAATGGGCCCAGATTTTACGATAACATTATCTTGGGGTATATGATGAGTTTATGAGACGTCATATTATGTCGGGCGGGTCGTGTGGACCCGTGGATATTCGTTCCCCCATCCAATTGTCTTCTGTTGGTGCGATGGGTTGCTTGGAAACCCCGTGAGATCATATGGCAGCATGTGGTGGCACGTCGTCGGCTTGGGCTGGATAGTCTTTAGATTTTCTGGTTCTTAGCGGCCGCCTTACCATATTATTCCCATCGGTCGGTCGTTCGGGGTGCCCTAGCTGATTTTATGCGGCTCACTGGCTTATGTCCACCAGTCCCTGAGTGTGTTCTAGTAGATGATGAGTGCGAAGCACAGCTTATTCGAGATTGGCTTCGGCAGGTTATTGGTAAAATGGCTATGCTTCGCCCGGCTTGGGCCAAGGCAGTTTCGGCCAACATCTATGTCAATATCCGTCCTGTCGTAGCTTAACAACGTCGATGTGTAAATGTGTCCACCCAGATGAAATCGCTTACGTTTGATCAGCTGTCTAAGCTCGTCTTGGAAGATTTTCAGCACATACACGAAGGACGTGATCTGGTTCGGCCCCCGTGTGATGGTCGTCTCCCTTGGAGGGGCTCTGACGTTTTGTCGCCCCAAGTTTCTCTGGGCCAGCAGTGCCAAGTATGGTTGCAACGCCAGCGTCTCCCTGATGTTTTGCCCAGCCTCTGCTCTGCGCGCGCTCCAGGCTCATTGAAAGAACTTGCGGAACGCGAAGTTCGGCCCCTCCACGCGCGCATACTTCGCCCAGGCGTCCAACCATAACGTGTGCAGCGTTATCGTCCTGAGGTCCTTCAGCCGCGCGTGCAGCATTATCGCCCCGTCGTCCTTCAGCCGCGCGTGCAGCGTTATCGCCCGGACGACCATCAGCCGCGTGTGCAGCGTCATCGTCCAGTCGACCTTCTGCCGCGTGCGCAGCATCATCGTGCAGTGGATGTCCCTATCCCAGCCGACCTTCCTCGGCTGGGGGCGGATCTCCGAGCAGGGCGGCGACATCATCTGGACCAAGGCATTCTCCTCGGATTGTTATTGCGAGGGCGCCTGACCCGCCCCAAGAGGAGGCGATCAGATCTCTTTGTGCGGAGTTCGAGGCCCTCCCCCCAGAAACTGGGATTACGGTTGAGGATAAGGATCCCCGTGCCATGTGGGCGTTCAAGGTTGGGGCGGCGGTGGTTCGCTGGCTTGGGATTCTCTCTGGTGCTTCTGAGCGTTGGAGATTGTCGGCTGCCCCTTTATTGAGTATTTTGTCTTGGTATAGACTATGCTATGATTGTGCCATTCCAAAATCGATGAGGGGGCGCCCTGGGACTGCATCTGGCAAGTGCTTCAACATTGACGGATAAAAAAGAGAACGGCAAAATAAAACCTGGGCATTCTTGCGTCCGAAACGTCTGTTCGTTTCTGAAGATGCCGCCCCGTCGACTTTATCGCCGCATTGCCAGGGCAATCAATTGTCTGGTTGACCTTCTTACTCCTGGGTGGTCTTTGAAGGATCTCTCCAAGGCCTCGGAGGAGCTCTTGCGGAATTCTGATCTCTTACTGGGACCGACTCAAGATGCTTCTGGGGGATTTTGTTGTGCCAGATGTCGAGCAACGATGCCCTACCCAGGCTTTGTTGTGGCTGATGCGGGCCAGGCTTATGAGACGCCGAGTGATTCGGTGGTTTGGAGCTCTGTTCAGAATCTCTTTGGTCGGGCCAATCGGGCTTTCAAGAAGAAGACCATCTCCGTCATGCGCTCCCGCAATGCGTCCGTGATTCTATGAGGTTCGATGCGCCATCGATATGTTGATCGTGCAGTATTTCTGTGTTCCCCCCCCCAGCGTTCGCCGGCTGGCTTCTTGGGCTCCAAGTACTTCGCCCTGGGCAATGTCTCGCTGCAACAGGTTTGTGGGGCCCCCATTGGTGGCCCATTATCCCCGTGTCTGCTCCATGTCGTCTTATCCCGTGCCGAACATTATCGCGATGATGGGTCGTGGCAGCGTTTTCGGGATTTTATGGCCTCGAGGTACCTTGATGATGTGCATATGTTCAGTTATCGGTTTTGCCGCACTTGTTTGACACAGATTTTACATAGTACCTATTCTGGAGTCACCAAGTTTGATCCCGACGACAAGTTTGAGGTTTTCAGGTCTGGTGCTGTTTATAAGTATCTCGACCTCTACCTGCATGCCAGCTTTGATGGGCTTAAGATAGAAATGCGGCACAGGAACGAGCGATGCGCCTTCGCGGGCGAGTTGGTATTCATGGACAAGCAGACTACAATACCGTTCCTTGGGGTACTCAAACGGCGCCGGATTCAGGAGATGCGCGGGGAGGCTGAGGGTCGCCTCCAGTCGTGGCTTAGGGTTGAGCTCCACCCAGTCAACATGATTCTCCTACTAACCGTGGACATGTTGACCTTGTTTCGTCTTGGTGATCCTGTCAAGTATGTCTCTGCAGCGTGGAAATGTCTGGCTCCTCCAGGCCCCTTGCGAGATCTGATTACCCAATGTTTTCGACTTGTCGTGATTACTTCTAAGCACCTTATCTCTTCGGCCGACGCCTTTGCGGCTCAGCTAGAATCGCGTGCCTCTCTTCTTCGACAGCTACGCCTCAACGGCCCGCCTCCAGGTCTCGACGGTGCGATGGGCAAGAAGGCGTTCCCGCGGCAGCAGCCCCAGCGCCCTCGCCAGGAGCCTCGTGGTGATGGAGGCTTCGGTGGCATGATGGCCAACTACAATAACGTCTTGGAGGACATCCAGAGCTTCGGCGAGATGGCTTCACTGGCGACCCAGATGGCGCAGGCCAAGCAGGCGCGTGATGCTGCCGATCAAGGCCCCGCCAAGGAGTTGGCCCAGGCGCTGACGGCCGTCGTTCGTCCAGCGGCAGCGGCGGCGCCAACCGACGCCCGGCTTGAGGGCGCGGTGAAGCGCCTGGCGGAGTTCGCGCTTCCAGGCTCGAGCGCAACTGGTGCTCCGGGCAGCGCCGACCCCGAGGTCAAGCGCTCGCGCGCGGATCTCGATGCATCGACCAGTCGCGTGGACGCCCAGTCCAAGGGCATCTCCGAGATCAAGTCGGCCAGCACCGATAACCAGGCTGTGTGCATGGAGACCCAGCACATGATGGCGCGGCCCATGGACAAGTTTGACCGTTTTCAGGTCCCTGGGGCCCCTGGCGGCGATGACGGCGGTGGTCGCGCAGGCTTTCCCGTGGCAGGTGATGCCGCCGACCCGTTCTTCCAGCAGCAGGTGCTCCTCGCGGCCCGCACCGGAGTGGCGACGGTTCTTGGCGCCCAGAACAACGCGCGGTACAAGAGTATGAAGGAGGGTTACCCGAGAGATGGTATGCCGTACGTGACTTGATGGGAGTCGGTCGCCAAGCTTAAGGGTTTGGACCAGTGGAAGAAGAAATTGCTTTCTCTCGGCGCCGAGGCCGAGGCCGTCCAGGACCTGGACAAGGCTGGCATCGGGACCTACATCTTTCGTTTTCTGACGGCGGACGGCGAGATTTCAGATGTTGCCTTGCAGCCAGACCCGCCTGCCGCCTGAATACCTTCTTTCGATGACGGACGTTCGGTGTGCCCCAACAAGCATCATACTCATATGAAGAAACAGTATGAGCAGCCCACAGACCATGCGAAGACAGATATCGATTTGTTTTTTTGGGAGCGTGGTGGGCTGCCTACATTCAATAATGATTGTAATTTGGTATGGGTGTGTGATTCTGCTTCTTGGGAGACTTGTCATCGCGATATGGCAGTCAGGTTTGCTTCTTGACGGGCTTCGTGTTCGTTTCTTGGAGGCAGTGGGTCATCTCGGGCTTGCACTTACTCGAGTTGTGGATCAGGTACCTTGCTGGCTTGGCAGTCGTATCTGGATGACTGTGCTACGTGATCGTTGGTTCCAGGGCTTTCGTGACATCTTCGACTTCCCCACTTCTGAGGCTCCCAGCTCTGAGGATTTTGGACCCAGCGCAGAAGACGTTGACCCGTCCTGTCTCGACCCTCTCTGTCTCTCACTCGGAGGCTGCGGAGGTTTCTCAGATAGCCCTTCAGGGGGGGCTGCTTTTCTAGCGACTTTTGCTGCAAGCATTCCAGTACTGTGGCCGTTTGGAGTCCCACTGCTGCGTAGGCTCCCAGGCCTCCGTGGGGTAGTTCGTTACCTATGAATCGTGCCAGCCACCACGCCGCACCTTCGGGGATGGGGGACGAGGCGAGTGAAGGCGTCTGATAGTCCTTTTACCCACCCGTCTTGTGGAGGTTGTGTGTTTTCCATATTGCATCCCTTGGCCTTGTTAGGCCATCTCTCTTTGCTCTGTTCTGCAAGAGTTCTGCCCGACTCTGGAAGAATTCTTGCTTCCCTCGCCATTGCACATTTGGCACGAGACTGGCCCTGATGGTTTAGGCTAGCGTTCAAAGCCTAATCAAGATTAGGCTGCACATCGGATGGGTCCTCGGAGTTGCAGCGTCTGGTAAAAACAACCACGCAGTGCTATTGTGAATTCTCTTTGGCTTACGTCAGGCCGACGTCCTTCCAAGAGTTGTACGTTCCTGGGTCTTGGGCTGCAGTACCAGTATTTCCATATAGTTTCACTTCATAGTGTGTGTGTGTGTGTATGTGTGTCGATTTCCCTCTCGCCCACCCCCGCCTCGCCCTCGTCGCCTCCCACTCCTTGCCGCGAGGCTTCGCTGCGACGGCACGATCAAAAAGTTTTGTTCTGCGCCTGGACTCGTCCACCCCCAACCTGTTCGGAGACATGCCCCCAAGGATCCTCGTGTAGCCAGCGATGGACAGCGACAGTGTTTCCTCCACCTCCCGAGAGCTGGAAATCATCTACCGCCGACGCTCCGCGAGGTCCTCTGTGGGGCACGCGCCCAAAACGGTTGATATGGCTGTTTCCCGCTCGTGGATCTGCAGCCTCTCACATCCCGCCCGCCCCCCTTCCCTTCGCAGCGCGGGCGAAGAGCATGAAGTAAGTCCTCGACGGGAATTCGTTTTGTTTGTCCGTGCCCTTCTCTGAGTCTGCCCCTCCTCTTGCCCTCTTCTCCCTTATCTCTCTCCTTGATTGTTCTCTCTCTCTCTCTCTCTCTTTCCTTCTCCCTGCGTATGCACACGTTTATACCTATTACAAGTGTGCAGACACCTGTATACACATACATGCGTACATGCGCGCATACCTCAATGTAGGTTCGCACATGGTTATTCCTCCTTCGTCCTCTCCCTTTGTCGTTGCTGCATGTTTTATCCTTCCTGATCCCTTCATTCTTTACTTGGTCAAAACGCTACGTTTTGGGTGTCTTGTTTACGGTGTTTTTGTTAGCGTTTTCAGCCCCGTTGTTGTGGATCTTCATTCGTGTTAGCGTCTTTTGCTTTCTTGACAAAGGGTGTTTCTTGTCTTCACTGCCGTCTTCGCTCCCGTTCTCCCGTTCCTGCCCAATCCCGTTCGTCCAGCTCCACGCGCAGAGCGCAGAGCTCACGCCGCAGAAAAAACACCCAAAACGCCCGAATACCAGTCTGACACCGGCGCGGAATCGGCGCGGAGGCCCCGCGACCAGCCAGCAGCGACGACCAGAGAGCAGCATGATTAATACAACTATAGGGAGTGCTGGACGCAAGGAGAATCTAGGCCTCCCAGATGGGATCGGAGTACAACATGGGGTCGGAGGATGGTGCCGCATCGCCGTTGCATCGGCGATGCGGCTCGATGTGGAGCCCGATTTTCTCCACGCCCACATCGCCGATGCATCGCCGACGTCGCCAGTGCATCGCCGATGTATCCTCGATGTATCGCCGATGCATCGGCGATGTGGCGCCATCCTTCGACCCCATCTACTCGGACCCCATCTAGGAGACCTCTAGAGAAGGAACTGAAGACGTGGTAGACGGCAATCTCAAACAGCGCAATCAGCTGATCTGAAAACGCCAAACCATGGAGCTCAACATGCAAACACAATACTCGCTGGTTTCGCATAATTGATTCTCTTGCTGGGACCTATAAGCGCCAAGCAAATATGTCCGACGCCGAGTTTAAAGCGGTAAGAAAACGCCCAGTGCATATCGAAGAAGGACAACCTCAGTTCCCCCCTTTCCACCGCGTTACGTTGCATCTTGTTTCCTGTCTCTGCTCCCCTCCGCCTCACTGCAGGTGAGAACGTCCACCAAGAACAAGACTCTAGACCCGACGTGGAACGAGACGTTCGTCCTAAGGATGGCGTTGTTGTGAGGTTTGGCTGGGTTGCAGGTTGGTCGCTGTCATAAACAGTCGAGTTCTCCACACGAACCGACACCACCAACAACGTGACATATGCGCATACCTTTGGGTGATGTGACGTCCTCGAGTCCGGGAGAGTTTGGCGGCCCGTTGCGCTTGCGTCCGAGATGCAAGAGCATCGAATACACATTGTGCATGCTCATATTCCATTAGATTGCAAGTGTCGCGGCTGGACAACTTGTTTTTCCCAAAGGGGCGCTGGCACTTATAACTTTGATTTGCCCTATTGGCATGCATGTGCCATATAATGGCACTCGGCCTGACGCATGCGACTGACAGCGTTGCCCGCGCAGTGGCACAATCGTCACGTTTGCTACATAAGAGCACTGACACATGGTTGTTATGCGGTGTTTGGTGCTGGCGACGGTAGTAGTGCGATAGCAGCTGCGCACCTTATCGCTCGAAGCAACATGATTATCCCTTCGAAGACGTGGTCCCTGGACGTCTCGACCTTATCCCAAACACCAGTTTGGGTCGAGGGGAGTCTTGGTCCAGGGCCCGAAACCGAAACGGCCCTCCAGGGGCCCGATCTCGGAGAACAGCTGGTCATCCCGACCGGTTCGCCAGGATGGGAGGTCTGGGCGCACCGTTGACAGGCCCCGCCCTCCCGGTCCTCGCCGTCGGTCAGTCGAGAATCCAGGATCGAGGTCTGGGGCTCGAGCTTCTTACGTTCTCGGCACGTTCGGGCCTCCGGGAGGCCCGAGACGCCTTCCAGAGACGGCTCGAGGATCGAGGTGTCTGGACGCGTTCGGCCCTCACGGGCCTCACGGGCCTCTTGGAGGCCGTCTCGGGGCCTCAGAGAGGAGCTGCGTAGCCACCACGTCGCCGTCGTCGTCGTCGTGCCGGCTGCGGGAGGGCGGCAGAGATGCGCCTCCAGGGGCGACGGCAGCAGCGGGCTGAGGCGCGGCCCTCGGCAGCGCCGGGGGTCCGACGGCCACCGCGCTCGGCCCCCCCCGGTGAAGGCGGCCCTCCTCCGGCGCGGCCACGGCCGTAGGGGCGGGGGGGGGTCGGTCGGCCGCCCCGGTGGGGGCGAAGGCGGCCCTTCTCCGGGGCAGAGGCCCTCCTGTCTCTCCCCTATCGCCCCTCTTCTGCTCCCCTCCCCCTTTCGCAATTACTCAACATGAATACTACTCTCCCTCTTCCCATGATGACGGTTTGAAAGTATTAGCCCCCCCCCGCGTACTGTTTTTTTACACAGGTTTCCCCGGAGTTGTTTTTTCGCCTGCATTTTTTCCAAAATGCTGCTCTCGCTGAGGCGCCGGCCTCATTTTCGGGCCCCGCTCGTTCCGAATCGTGCTCCCGCTGCAGCGCTGGCCTCATTTCCGTGCTTCCGCTCGTTCCGAATCGTGCTCCCGCTGCAGCGCTGGCCTCACTTCCGCGCTTCCGCTCGTTCCGACTCGTGCTCCCGCTGCAGCGCTGGCGTCCTTTCCCGTGCCATGCCACGGCATGCAATGCAATGCTAGGTTGATGCTACGCTTTGCGGTGCTCTTCTACGCCATGCCATGCGTGCCCTACAATGCATCGCGTACCCTTTCGGGATCATTGCCCTGCTCGACATCCGACTGTGCGAGTAGGGAGGGGGTCTACGCCATGGTAAGGGATGGGAGGAGGGGTAGGATGTCAGATATGACGCGAGCGCACCTGGCTTGACAATTACTCAATATGAATACTACTCTCCCTCTTCCCCTGATGACAGTTTGAAAGTGCTCGCCCCCCCCCCGCGTATTGTTTTTTTACACAGGTTTCCCCGGAGTTGGGTTTTTGCCTGTACTTCTTGTTCCCAAAATGCTGCTCTCGCTGAGGCGCCGGCCTCATTTTCGGGCCCCGCTCGTTCCGAATCGTGCTCCCGCTGCAGCGCTGGCCTCATTTCCGTGCTTCCGCTCGTTCCGAATCGTGCTCCCGCTGCAGCGCTGGCCTCACTTCCGCGCTTCCGCTCGTTTCGACTCGTGCTCCCGCTGCAGCGCTGGCGTCATTTCCCGTGCCATGCCACGGCATGCAATGCAATGCTAGGTTGATACTACGCTTTGCGGTGCTCTTCTACGCCATGCCATGCCGTGCTCTACAATGCATCGCGTACCCTTTCGGGATCATTGCCCTGCTCGACATCCGACTGTGCGAGTAGAGAGGGGGTCTGCGCCATGGTAAGGGATGGGAGGGAGGGGTAGGATGTCAGATATGACGCGAGCGCACCTAGCTTGTCTCAATCCGCTCTCCCTCCTTCTCCCGCCCCCTCCTTCATGTTTTGTCCCAGCTATTCCGGGCGATGGGTCGAGTCTCGCCGCGAGTCTCTGCACAAGCCCAGGTTTCGCGCGTCGGCTCTGCAGGTTGGCCCTGGCCTGATTGCGAGCTCGCTTGGTTCACATTGCCGGCGCCATCACTAGCAGAGGTTCGTGGTCGTTGCTGGACGGGGGGGACCACACTCCACAACATCGGGGATACGGGCCGACATGCCCCCCTTTGCAGGCATTGGAAATGGGGCCCCTGGACATCGACCTCCTCGCGTCGTGAGAGAATCATGTTGGAGGGTTTGGGGCGATTTCCAGTTCTGAAGGCCCCTAGGTCAAGGGACCGACGGGAGGTGGATGTTTTCAAGCAGCTGCTCCTCGGGGTCCGCGTTGCGGAAAAAAACACGACGTCGGCAGTCTAGGGGGCTGGGTGGTCGTGTGTCTTGGCACCTCGGACCCTTCCCGGGCCCCGGGGCCGTCAACAGACTGCTCAGGACGAAGAGCCCGTTCTGGGGGGATCCACTCGTTCCCACCAGGACCTTTTCTCGATGATGTTCGCGGTCGGTCCGACCGCGGACCAGAGAGGAGAGGAGCGGTGGCAGGCTTGACACGGGAGGGCAGGAGTGACCGAGTGCGCCACAGCCGGGATGCGCCGAGGTTCCTCCTGTACGACTCAGACATGGTGGGCACGCGCTTTCCGCCTACAGCGTGCGTCGATGAGTCCCATGCATCCCTCCCTCAGTCGATACCATGAGTTGCTTTATCACCGCCGAGCCCGAGCCTCGTGCGTCGCTGTTTCTCGGCCCAGGATATCTTGGTTCGTCGATCAGTTTGTAGTTTGAGGTAGCACGCGGTCTGCCCCGTGTTCGTGTCGATCCTTTTCTCTTGCGCTCGCCAGCTTTGGCATATTTGCCACGCTCTCGCGTGTCCCCTTCAGCCCGTCCAGAACCGATGCCCAGGCGAGTTGCCTGTACCAGGGAAGTGTAGGAGCAAATCGTGGAACAAAGAGAGGGGGGCAACCGTCAAGCCGAAAATCGAGGTCAGCCTGATCAGGCCAACGAGTCAGCCATAACTGCCGTTGCCGATGTTTCAAGATTGATCATATTTGCAGTTTACTTGCGCACTCTTGGATGCCATCGGAGCCCTCTTGGGGGTCCCTTCGGGCCCTCTTGGGGACATTCGGGGCCTTCGTGGAGGCCATCGGTGAAATAAGGGAGGGTTGTTGATGTCAGCCCCTCTTGGAGCGTTCTGGGGGCGTTCCTATGGCGCTCTTGGGGCCGTCTTGGGCCCCTCCTGGGCCGCTCTCGGGGCTCTCCTGGGCCATGTTGGATCCATCGTGCTGCCTCAGAAGCCAACCGGAAGCGGAAAGCGGAGAGGCACGTGTTTCGGAAGGGCCTTGCCTCTCGGGGGAGTCCTTGGGAGGCTCCACGGCCACTTGGAACCAACGTGGAGCGCTCTTGGGCCTCCTGGAGGCATGTGGGAGGATGTACCGAGCAATCGTGGGCTACATCGCTGCATCTTGGAGGCCAACTTGGGCTTTCTTGAAGCCATCTTGAGCACTCTGACCACTCGCGACCTGGCCCGTCCATACCCAGGACGAGGGAATCGGGGCAGAGGCAACCCTTCTCCGAAGGGGGGGGGGGATGGTGAACAAGCTAATTAACCCAGTGAACCACCTACGCCCAGAGGGCTGGTAGGATTAGCTGGTTGCGCTGTTGCCTTCGTAAGCTTGAATCGCGGTCAGTTCGGCCTGGTAATTTGGGCGGTTGACCTTCCAATGACCAGCCCGATATATGCAACATCGACCCCGTGGTCGGCGTGTGAACCGACCTCCTCCATCCAGACGCATAGTGTGCATGTGGAGTCAGCAGAGTTCCTCCATGGCGTTGTAGTGGTAGTAGGTCGTGGTTTTGATAGAGAGGATTGCGGAGGGACAGGTGAAAGAGGTACGCCGCAGAGTGCAACATTGGGAATCCTGTTCGGCCAGGTATCGATGTGCAAAGTTCGTGTTAAGGTAGACGGGGAACAAACTAACCCACGGCTGATCAAGGGGCACGCTGACGACCAACACAATTTCATACGGCGGGGTGGCAACACTGGGGCTCAATGAGTAACGGGAGCTTGTATGATATTTATTATGCTACGCGGACAGGGCATGGTAACGTGGGCGCGAAGATAGCCGTGCGTTGCGTTTCATGCGGCGCGACGCGCGAAGGTCATTAACTTTGGTGGTGCGCGGACAGGATGCGAGCCCTCCCCTACGATGTTACATGTTTTCCCAACCAACCTGTGTTGTTGGGTCCTCGTGTTGAAGAGACGGTCCCCGCGTCTCCTCCTCCTCCTCCTCCTCCTCCTCCTCCTCCCTCCCCCCCTCCTCTCATCATCGTCATCATCATCATCATCATCATCATCATCATCATCATCATCATCATCATTATCATCATCAGCATCATCATCATCACCATCATCATCGAGTGGGAGATCCCCTATGATGAATTTGCGGGTCTTATCTCTCACAGGAAACGTGATACGGCTCCTGGTCCTGACGGCATCCCGTACTCTGCGTGGCGGTGTGGTGGAGATCTCACTCGATCAGCATTTTATGATGCCCATGTGGCTCTTTTGCGAGGCGATCGCCTCCCGCCTGAATTCAACCACGGCTATGTTGCGTTCCCTCCCAAGAATGTTGAGGAAGACTCTCTAACGGTTCTCCGTGGGCCTGGTCAAACTCGTCCGATCGTCCTCTCGAACACTGACAGCAAGTCAATCTCTGGTGGGTTATCTGTTCCCTTGGGCTCTCAAGCGCAGTTTTCGGTTGTATCGTTTCAGACTGAAGGTATTAAGAAGCGTAACATCCTCAACAACATTTTTAACCTCGAGGGTTCCCTTCCCGAGTATGCATGTTTCAGAGGATTTGAGACGGCCGGCATCCTTCTATCAGACCTGGCTGCCGCGATTCCCTCCTTATTGCACTCTTGGATATTTTTCGTTCTGAGCTCGCTCGGCATTCCTGCACACTTCATTGATGCAATACGGGAGCTTTACTCTGACATGAATGTCAAGATTCTGATGGGAGGGAGGATCTTCGAGGGGTTCAGGATCGAAACTGGAGTGAAACAAGGCTGTCCTTTGTCCGCTCTCATCTTTAACTTGTGTTTCGACCCCTTGCTGCGGGTCATAGATAGGTGGGTCCAGCCGATGCCTGGCCGCGCGCTCGCGTTCATGGATGATGTGGGCATCGCTGCCACTGACATTGTCCCCACCGTTGAGAAGGTTCTCAAGCTGTTCCAGATCTCGTCCCCTTTAACGGGGCTCAAGCTGAATTACTCCAAGTGTGTTGTTGTCGTTCCTTCGGATGCTCTGATTCTTCAGGTCCGTGCACTCTTGGGCGCTCGTCGGGTCCCTGTGGAACAGCTTACTTTTCGCACTCACGGGAAATACTTGGGCGTTTACGTTGGCCCTGGTGGGCCTTCTGCCTCGTGGTCTGGGCCGGCTCGAAAATTCATTGTTCGTGGAAACGATGCGAAAGGTCTGAACTTGGGCCTCAACCTCGGCTTCAAAGAATACAACATCCTCGCCTCCCCCGTGCTCTCTTATGTCCTCCAGCTGTTGCCTGTTCCGCCCCTCGTCCGACAAGCCGAACAGACGGTCCTACATAGACTGACTGCGAGCCCGAGGTTTGCCATCCCTACTGATGCTCTTCGCCATTTCTCTGGATTTGGATTTCTCTTGCTTGAGAATCGTGCCGCCATGTATCGAGCCAGTCTGGGATCGACGGCTGCTCAGGCCATGTTCTCTCGCTTGTGCTACCTGGAAGAGGAAGATTGGAATGTGCTGGTGGTGCGCCGATTCCCCTCGTGGCGGAGCTCTAGCATTTGTTTCTCGCGCCTCACGAGCTACAAGAGCCTGTCGGCGATTCCGCGATCCCTGGTCAAGTTTGATGAAAGCACGGTCCACCTCCGAGGGAAGGTTGCTCGTTTTCTTCGACCTCAAGAGCTGAGCCCCTGTTCCAGGCTTCTCCAACCCCGAATTCGGCACTTTGACCCCCAAGCCCCCGAATGGTATACGAACAGAATTTTCCTGAATATCAGATTAGCCAATCGTCTGCTTGCCCCGTCTACACTTGTCGCTTATATGAAATCTATTTGCAACGCCTGGCCGACGATCCAGAGATATCGCCAAGCCCTGCAGGTTCTGTGGCGAGGAGAGCGGTGACAGTATCCGCCACATGTTCGAGTGTCCTGTGCTCATCCCTGCCTTGCTTCGTGTTCTCCCCGTCCTCCCCGCTTCCTTTTCTTCTTGCTCTGTTATGATGCGTCTCCTTGTCACCGATGTTTCCCAGCTGTCTCAGGACCAGCTCCTGGCCTGCCTTCTCGTTCATGATCTCGCATTCGCTACCTATAATGCGTTGCGGCACTTCGGGCGACAAGGTCCCGACGCAATCCCGAACCTTGTGATTGCCTGTGCTCGCGTCCTGTCCAAGCGTTCCCGTCGAAGCAGAGACATCCCTATGGCCCGTTGACATCATCATCGTCATCAGCAGCATCATCATCATCGTCGTCATGATCGTCGTCATCATCATCAACATCAGCATCATCACCCCCCCAGTGCAGCGTTTCGTGGCTCCACAGGGGCTCCACCGAAGGTCCCCGGGGCGCAGTCCGCATGCGTCTCCCTCACCCAGTGCAGCGTTTCGTGGCCCCATGGAGAGCCCCACCGAAGGTCCCCGTGGCGCAGTCCGCATGCGGCTCCTCCACCCAGTACAGCGTTTCGTGGCCCCATAGGGGCTCCACCGAAGGTCCCCGTGGCGCAGTCCGCATGCGTCTCCCTCACCCAGTACAGCGCTTCGGGGCCCCATAGGGAGCGGCACCGAAGGCCCCCGTGGCGCAGTCCGCATGCGTCTCCCCCACCCAGTACAGCGTTTCGTGGCTCCATAAGGGGGCTCCACCGAAGGTCCCCGTGGCGCAGTCCGCATGCGTCTCCCTCGCCCAGTACAGCGCTTCGTGGCCCCATAGGGAGCGCGACCGAAGGTCCCCGTGGCGCAGCCCGCATGCGTCTCCCCCACCCAGTACAGCGCTTCGCGGCCCCATAGGGGCTCCACCGAAGGTCCCCGTGGCGCAGCCCGCATGCGTCTCCCCCACCCAGTACAGCGTTTCGGGGCCCCATAAGGATCGGCACCGAAGGTCTCCGTGGCGCAGTCCGCATGCGTCTCCCGCACCCAGTACAGCGTTTCGTGGCCCCATAGGGGCTCCACCGAAGGTCCCCGTGGCGCACCCCGCATGCGTCTCCGTCACCCATTACAGCGCTTCGTTGCCCCATAGGGAGCGCCACCGAAGGTCCCCGTGGCGCAGTCCGCATGGGCCTCCCCCACCCAGTACAGCGTTTCGTGGCCCCATATGGGACTCCACCGAAGGTCCCCGTGGCGCAGTCCGCATGCGTTTCCTTCACCCAGTACAACGTTTCGGGGCCCCATAGGGAGCGGCACCGAAGGTCCCCGTGGCGCAGTCCGCATGCGTCTCCCGCACGCAGTACAGCGCTTCGTGGCCCCATAGGGGGTCCACCGCAGGTCCCCGTGGCGCAGTCCGCATGCGTCTCCCTCACGAAGTACAGCGTTTCGTGGCCCCATATGGAGCCCCACCGAAGATCTCCGTGGCTCAGTCCGCATGCGTCTCCCTCACGCAG